GGGAGCCCGATGTGGGGCTCGATCCCAGGACCCTGGGATCATGACCTGAGCCGAAGGCAGACGCTTAACGACTGAGCCACCCAGGCGCCCCTAGTTTGGTGTTTTTAATTTGTTGTTTGTTTAGTTTGGTGCGTCACGGGCAGTATTCCCAGACTGGTGTGAGCTCCTGGAATTGTTCCTTAATCCTCTTGGGTGATCCTTTCCCTGGCCTCTGAAAGCTTCCTCACGCATGGGAATTGGTCAGTACTCTGCTGAATAAGCCAGAGGGACCCTTGGTACATTCTCCAGAGTTCTGTCATTTTCTGTTCTTGGGGATTTTGCTTTACAAACTCTGGTTTCCCTGGACTCTTGTTTTCGTCTCTTCAGCTCCTGGGAGACCCTGGATCCACCTGAGTTCTCCTCTGCCCTGGGCCTTGGAGGACGCCGGGTCTAGACAGGATGGTGGGCACAAACATGGGCCCATCTTGTTTCCCCTCTCTCCATGTCCAGCGTCTTGAGAGCCATTTTATATTCTGTAAGGTTTTAAGATTTTTTTCAGGTCAGAGAATCGATCCAGTCTTTGTTACTCGTCTGTGCCCCCCCCGGTGGCATTACCTTTGTTTGCTAATTAAATTTAACTTTTTATTTTTTTAAGATATTATTTATTTGACAGAGAGAGAAAGCACAAGTAGGCAGAGTGCTAGACAGAGGCGGAGGGAGAAGCAGACTCCCCACTGAGCAGGGAGCCTGATGTGGGGCTCGATCCCAGGACCCTGGGATCGTGACCTGAGCCGAAGGCAGATGCTTTTTACCTGACTGAGCCACCCAGGCGCCCCTGTTATAGAGAACGTTGCAAGAACAGAAGAAAGATGAGCGTCACGGTGGTGTAACCTAGTCCACCTGACTGCTGCTGTTTGTTGAAAGGGCTGAAGCTGGGGCCAGGCTTCCCATCTGCCTCTGTTCGATCTGGCTTCTAATACTGGTCGACTGTGTGGTAGTGTCTGGCCTCTCCTTGGAATTTCTACCAAGCTATGTAATTGAGGGTGCCCTTCCAGTTGCAGAAAGTGCTGACGCTTTCTGGTGAACTGGCCTAAATAGTGAATAATGGAGAGGAATGGTCCTGTCCTGTTGGCTGGCAATCTTCGGTTCTTCTGTTGGGGTGAGACGTGTATTTTTTGTTTTGTTTTTGTTTTTGCTTCCACATAACCTCACTCCTGTTAATCCCCGGATAGAAAGACACCTGCCTACGTGGACATACGCTGCAGATGGCGTGGTTCCATTTCTTTTGTAGCTTGCCTTTGTTTATTGACCTCGCTCTTCCAGTGATATGGAGCCATTCCCACCTTCCAACACAGGAAACCATGTTTATGCTCTCCTCTGGCCAGTTTAGACTGCTAAGCCTTCGGAATCCTGCTTTGCCCTGAACAAGGCCCCGCCATTGGGTATTTATTGTCTCTTCCTTGCCTCATCTCAACACCCTGCTTCTCCCAACTTTGGGTGTTAGTGGGTTTTCTAGGACTTCTTCAACTTCTCACACAACTGTACCGTTTTTCATTAAGGAGGGTTGGTTGTAGGGCGCCTGGGTGGCTCAGTTGGTTAAGCGTCTGCCTTCAGCTCAGGTCATGATCCCAGGGTCCTGGGATTGAGCCCACATCCGGCTCCCTGCTCATCAGGGAGTCTGCTGCTCCCTCTCACTCTGCCACTCCCCTGCTCCTGGTCTCTTGCGCATGTGCTCTCTCCCTCAAATAAATAAAAAAATCTTTAAAAAAAAAAAAAAAGGAGGGTTGGTTGTTAGCTCATCCTTCTTCAGTTGTGTACTTTCTGGTAGGTGGTGCACAGTTTACTGAGGACTATTTCCTAAGGAGTTTTTTCTACTTTTATTTTTTCTTTATTTCCATAAATTTCTAGGAGGGAGTTAATGGTCTTGTTCATGTGCGGTTATCTCTTCTGGAAGGGGTGGCTTTGTGATTTTAATCATAATTGAAAGATTGGAAACTAGGACTTAGAAAAGTAGAAAATGTACACATCCCAATACCAGTCCCCATTGAATGAGAAAGTAATACCGCTTCTGTATTTCTGGGGTATGTGAAATTTGTGGTGAATACAATATTACCCTATTTTCTGAAGTCATTTGGCACTTGACTAAGATGTATCATTCTATACTTTTTCTTCCCATCATTTTATCCTAACATTTTCAGACATGTAGCAAAGCTGATAACAACTTTAAGGTGATATGCCCTAAGGGGACAGGGACCATAATTGGTTATACGTTACTCTCCTAGCCTACTCCCATGAGAGATATTCAGTGTGATTGTTGAATGAATTTCTCTCCCTTTTTCTCTCCCTTCTCCCTTGTTTTGTGGACTCATGTTTCTCTGGGTACCTTTGACCCGTGACCTGATTAAAAGCAGGAGAGAGTGGTTCTCAAACTTTGATGGGTGTTAGGATCACCTGGAACACTTGGTACACACCACAGAGGCCAAGACCTGCCCTCCTCGAGGGGCTCTGTGGTCCCGATTAGCTCTCAGGAGACTGATGCACACCAGCTTTTGAGAACCACTGTTCTAGGGGAAGGCTTTGAAGCAAATTCGGCATCCTTGAGCAGTTAGCCTCTGGTCAGTTCCTAAAGAACTGGGGCCCTAATGTAGCTAAAGGATTTAAAACATTCCCCCATTAGATGTATTTCCTGAAGGTAGGAGCCATGTCTTTTACATTGTCCTTTTCAGTGTCTAGGATTGGTGTCTGGTGCTTATACTTTTTGGAGGCCTATGAATAAATGGACACACTGATTATTGGTTAACGCATGTCAACGTATCACAGACTGCCTCGTTTTGAGGGGCCAGAGAGGACTTGAGATAAAGTCTGTAGTTGGCCGGAGACTTTGGCTAAGCATTTCCTGCTCCCTGCGAGTAAACCCTGGCGCTCTTTGACTTTCGACCATCCTTTCTTCTCCAGCCTGTCTTGCACTCCCAGTGTAAGCTGTCCTACCACTAAGTCCTACTTCAGGTGAAATGGCCCCCTTCTTCCCTTCGCTGCTGTAGTGACAAAGGAGTATGACCACCTGCACCCGTCACTGTGGTCCCAGCACAGGCCTGACGGGACGGTATGGGAGGAACTCCTCTGCCTTGCAGCCTGGTGCTGAGGAAGCACCTGTCAGCCTGTGGAATTGTGGTCAGTGTGCTGAGCAGTGAGGAAGCTTCCAGCGCAGCTACTGACTGTGTGATATTTGCACTCAGTGAGCTTTGGTTTCCTCATCTGTAAAACATTGGATCAAGACACAAGATTTCATGTCTCTCCTTGACTCCCTGCAGGTTCTTTCTGGTCCCATCCTGTCCTTAGCCCTCAGAAATCTTACTCCTCTAGCTCATGGGTCCTTCTTCTGTCCCTCCAGTGAGCCCTCAAGCCATCAAGGAAACTCAGTGTGACTGATTGCTGGGTGTTCCAAGGAATTAAAGACGGGTCCTGCCATAGGCCTGCTGTATTAATTTAAACATACGTTCTCTTACCTTATTACGTGGTCTAAGTGAGCAAAGAGGAAAATGATAAAGGCAGGAGACTGACTTCTTGAATTCCTAAAAGTTAGATCTCTGGTCCTCTTCTTTTCTTACCCACCCTTTCATTCGGGGCAGCCGCGATTGAGAAATGCTCAGATCCGCTTGTCACGGCTCCAGCTTGGGTGGAGTTTTCTGGATGACGTTTTTCTTATTTAGACTGCATACGTTTGTCTCTTATAACTTTGTACCCCATGGCGCTTCAAGGGGTTTTTGGTTTGGTTTTTAATATACTTCAGTCATACATACTATTTTTTCTGGGTTAAATTAGGGATCTCACCAAAACCTATGATGTTATCTCTATGGTAAGCAGAGAGTAACTACTTTATAAATACTTTAGTAAGCTCTGGGAGCTTAATGAGCTCTGTTTTTATAAATCTATATTATTGTGTATGTGTAATTTAATGAATAGTCTTGCCTAGGCTGCGAAGGTCATTTTGGAAGGGTCTCTGTTGCTTTTTGGGTCTTTGTGTGTGTGTGTGTGAGAGAGAGAGAGAGAGAGAGGGAATGAATGATAAAATCTGATGGAAGACAATCCTATTTGAATTGCTGTTTTTCTATTTACTTAGAAACCTGGGGAGGAAGACCGGGAAACAATGAAGAGACAACAAAAATGTATTATTTATGTATTCTGTTTTTTTGACTAATCTGAGCATCACTGCCTTGTTCTTTTATTCAGCCTGCTTCTCATCTCTCATAGATCCGTGGGCCTCTGTGCTCAAGGCCAGTAACTGTTTACCCTGGGTTAATAACGAGAATCCTCAGGGTTGGTTTTACTGCCTGTTCATCATAGGCTAAAGAATTGTGTGTAAAAATATAATAAGAGGACAGAAGGAAGGAAGGAAGGAAGGAAGATAGATCTGCAAGGCCTTTGTTAAACTTCTGCTTATTTGTGTTACTGATATATTCTAACAGGAAAAGCTTTCAAAGGATATTGATTACCTTATTGGCAAGGAGAGCCAGGTGAAGAGTCAAATTTCTGAACTAAACTTGCTAATGAAAGAAACAGAGGTAAGTGATAAATTGGTTTATGTATTTTTATTTCTCCATCTAGAGAATTTATTCATTCATAAAATCTGGAAGGTAGTAAATGAGTTGGGAGTACAAAGTTGTGTTAGATTTCACCCCTGCTTTTATGGGACTAGGAAAACCAGTATAAAAAACAGGTTCTAATGTGTGATCAGTGCCCAAGAGAGGTGGTGATTAAATGCTACTGAAACACAGGGGGAAAGAATGACTGACCCTTTACGTGGGCAGTTTTGATCTCAGAAGTAGTAACATAAAGTAAATTTTGGAATTTTTAACAATTATCTGTATTTTACGAAATTAACAGATTGCTTTTGAAGTATGTACTATATGTTGACTTAAAATGCGCTGTTCCCAAGTACCTGAGACATGTTCACCAAAAGACATACATTGGAATGTTCATGGCTGCAATCAAATGGCTACAAAGTGGAAACTACCCAAGTATCCCTCAGCAGTGGAATATAATCAGCCTTAAGCATGAATATCTGCAACTAGATGCAACAGTGTAGCTAAATCTTGCAATAATACTGAAAGAAAGATGCCCGAACAAAAGGGTACAAACTCTATGACCCCCTTATAAAAAGTACCAACAAAGGTGAAACTGTTAGAACTCAGGACAGGCATTGTTGAAAGGTGGGGGAGGGGAAGGATGGATGTCTGGAAAGATTGGCATCTGGGGTCTGGGTAATGTTCCTTTGCTTAATCTGGATGCGGGTTACATGGGTGTATTTGCAAAGATTCGTCTGTCTCCACACTCATATATATTTTTCTGTGTGTATATTATACTTCAATAAAAAAAATGGAGAAAATTGATAGCATTTAAAAAATACGATAGAAGAGGATAGGACTGGGTTGTTTTAAAATTCCAAATATTCTTCATTGATTTGGATGTGTTTCTCTTCTCTAGTTGAAATAAATTGAAGAGCCATTATTCCTGATCACTTTTAGAAGTTAGGATGAAATAGAAAAATACCCTGGCTAGTATGAGACTGTTAATTTCTTGAAATTTCATTTTCCAAAATGGGTAAAAAAAATTGAGACATTATGCAAATTAGCACCAGATAACCAGCACTGCTATTGTTTTTAATACTCTTTTTCTGATACTCACTGATTGCATTCACCACCCTAAGTAAATTGTTCTTCCATGTACTTGAAAAGCGGGATTTTGTTTTTCTCCTTTTTGTCTGATGACCCACTCTCTCAGTGCTGGATCATCCCCTAGCCCTCTTGGCGGGTGATCACCTACATGGAGGAGTTTGCTCCAGAGATCGTATCTTGGGTCATTTTAGGTTTGTTTCACTCCTGGTCCTCAGTCATGCTGCCCTGACTTCTGAAATAAGGGAGCTCCAGCACCATTGCTGAGTTGTTGATTCACATCAAGTGTTCATGCAGACACTGAGTCCTTGGGATCCTGGAGAAATTACTTAGCTTCTCTGTGTCCCTTTGACCAAAGCTGCATTTGTGAGCTTATTAGCAAGAATCTCCTACACTGGAGAATTTGTCTGCATTCTTGACTTTTCCTCAGTGAGGACTATGACACTGTTTTTTTTTTTTTCTATAATTACACTTAGCTGGGGGGAAAAAAAAAACCCTTTTTACCTATGTGGAATGATTTTTTGAATTTAAGGTTGTGATTTTTATCACTGAAATACTACTGAAATGTCACCACCCTCTGTCCCCCTTTCTTCCTTCCCTCCTGCCCACCCTTTATAAAAATTTTTGCCTGTTGGGTTTAGGAAACAGAGAAAGGAATCTGGAAAAAATTTCCTTTCATCAGAAATGTTGGCCAGAAGCCATTGGGAAGTGCACAATGCACTTCTTCCATATGTTGTCAGCTTTTAAGAATGTGTTTGAAGACATTTTTTTCTGTGTTGGCTGTTGCTTACGGGTCTATAATGATGATTGTGTATGTGTGCTCTGCTGGTCTTATTTTCAAAATCAAGTTGGTCCCTGATCTTATGGACATTCAGAATGTTTTGTAAGCACTACAGACAGGATCATTTTAGGACCAAGTAGAGGAAGAGCTGTGTGTGCAGTGAGTATAATTCTGTGTACAGAGTATGTGCCGTTGTCGTGGGCATTTTATATACATAATATTTTTCAGTTTTCAAAAAAACCCAAATCGACACCTGGGTGGCTCAGTCGGTTAAGTGTCTGCCCTCAGCTCAGGTCATGGAGCTCCTTGCTAGGCGGGGAGCCTGCTTATCCCTCTGCTGCTCCCCCTGCTTGTGCTCTGTCTCTTTCTTTCTCTCTCTGTCAAATAAATAAATAACAACAACAAAAAAAACTGTTAAAAAAAAAAACCCAAATGGTTTCTCTTATCCCCAGCTTTCAGAAGAGAAAAACTCAAAGACATACAGAAGTCAAATAATTTGCCTAAAGTCACACAGGATTTAATTCTAATTAAGTTATATTAATTTGAAGAGAAGAGTTACAGTTTTGGATCTTAGTAAAGGATGTCATCTTCCTGAGTTTCATACTGTGATTTAAGTTTTCTTAAAAAAATTGGAAGAGCGTAGAAAGGGTCAAAGGTTGCCCGAATTAGAAACTCCAGAATTGTATTGTACAGTGTCTTCGGTTAAATCAGTTAATTTCTGCCTCAGATGCCTTTGCGTCCACGTTGAAGGTTGTTTCCTTATGGGATTATTTACTGTTGAACTCTGGAGATGAGAGTTTAAGGAGAATACAGTATCAGACGATCACAAAATATGTCTAAGAGTTGATCATTCCTCGCTAAGTGTACTCGATGCCAGATTATTGTTCTGAAAATGTCAGAGTCGGACAAAATTAAATTTTGGTTATTTTGAGAAAAGACATTTGGATTTAGCAGATGAGGTAACGCTTTCGCTCGTTTTATAATAGTGTAACGGAGAGAGAGCAAAAGAAGAAGCAATCACACATTTTGAGAAGCTCTTTGAAATCCTAGAAGAGAGGAAATCATCTGTTTTGAAAGCGATTGATGCTTCTAAGAAGCTAAGACTAGACAAATTTCAGACTCAAGTGGAGGAATATCAGGGGCTTCTAGAGAACAATGGGCTGGTGGGATATGCCCAAGAAGTGCTTAAGGAGACGGATCAGTCCTGTTTCGTACAGACAGCTAAACAGCTCCACCTCAGGTATGTTGCTTTGAATTTAGAATCTCCTTGGCAGCGACCTTCAGTCCTGCTCTGTGTTTCACCTTGAGCTCTTGGGGTTCCTAATGCAGTGCTCTGCAGAGACACCCTTGCCGCACTCTTAACTGGAACCTTGAGCGACGTGGTGGTTTTTTTGTTTTTTTTAATCACATTGCAGATGTTTAGTCTGATGGGCCTTTTACGGAGTTGTTTTTATATAAACTCTATCTGTCTGCAGAATACAGAAAGCTACAGAATCTTTGAAGAGCTTTAGACCCGCGGCTCAGACTTCTTTTGAAGACTATGTTGTTAATACATCTAAACAAACAGAACTTCTTGGAGAATTGTCCTTTTTCTCTAGTGGTAAGTTTCAGTGACGGGCAAAAGCTTCTTACTCTTGTAGTTGGAATTCACATTACGTGGGAAAAATGCACTCTTCGGTTTGACAGTATGAAAAACCATGTTTTTCTGCTAAAGAGTATATATTCTGTTGGTTTGTGTGGTTTTTAAACATTGTATGGGTGGCTCAGTCGTTAAGCATCTGCCTTCGGCTCAGGTCATGTTCCCAGGGTCCTGGGAACGAGCCCCGCATCGGGCTCCTCACTCGGCAGGGAGCCGGCTTCTCCCTCTGCCTCTGCCCCTCCCTCTCCTGATGCGTGCGTGCACGATCACTCTCTCTAATAAATCAATAAAATCTTTAAAAAACGCATTGAATAAATGGCATCACATTGCATATGTATCCTTTCTGTGAATTGTTTTTCAAGAAAATGAAGTTTAAGATACTTGTTACTCACAAAGTTCTGGTTGAAAGCTATATTTTAGCTGTGTATAGTATTTCATTATATAAACCATTTCCCTACCGAGAGACAATTTGTTTCTGTTTTTTTCTCCATTGCTGTGTTGAACACCTTCGTCAGTGTTCACTTGTGCACATGTATGTGGGTTTCTCTAGGGCAGAAACCTAGAAATGATGTCTCCAGGCTAAAACTGACTCCAAGAGGTTTTAAGTGTTTACCTGGCTGTATTAATTAGTTTGTGAGGGCTGCCGAAACAAAATACCACAGACTGCCTGCCTTGAACAACAGAAATGTATTTTCTTCCAGTTCTGGAGGCTCAGAGTCTGAGATCAAGGTGTTGGCAGGGTTGGTTTCTTCTGAGGCTGTTCTCCTTGGCTTGCAGATGACGGCCTTCCAGTATCTTCACGTGGCCTTCCATCTACACGTCTGTCTAAATTTCTGCTTATAAGGACACCAGTCATGCGAGTCATGGTGGATTAGTTCCCATCTTAATGAGTTCATTTTAACTTAATTACCTCTATAAAGACTCTTTCTCCAAATAAAGTCACAGTCTGAGGTACCGGGGGTTAGAACTTCAGCATGCGAATTTTGGGGCCATAACACGCGCTTACGATTGTGTTTTGCTGTTCCCCAGTGGGGAGGTCTTCCTTTCCTTTTTCCCTTCTTGCCTGGTTCATATCCCCCCCCCCGCCCCCCCACCCCCGGTTTCTCTTCTAGTGCTGGTGAACAGTTCAATCCTTAGAATGGAATACTTACGGATTGATGACTGTATAAGAATGTATGTGTGGATTTGTAATCATCTGGAAGAAATTTGTCTTGTTTGAAGTTACAAATTTTAGGGGTTCCTGGGTGGGTGGCTTAGTACAGCATCCGACTCGATCTTAGGTCTTGACCTCAGAGTTGTGAGTCCAAGCCTCACATTGAGCCTGGAGCCTACCTAAAAACAAGAAAAAAAAATTAAAGTTAAAAACTCTGAAGGATTATTACCACGACCTGCTTTCTTTCAAATCTATACCTGAATCTCCTTTCAGATATGTGCTTATCTTTTTTTTTTAAAAAAGATTTATTTATTTATTTTTAGAGCGTTTATTTATTTATTTATTTTTAGAGTGAGAGAGTGCACGCGAGTTGGGGGGGAAGGGGGAGAGGGAGAGATGGAAAGAGAGTCCTCAAGCAGACTTTTAGCTTTGTGTAGAGCGTGACGTGGGGCTCAATCCCAGGACCCTGAGATCATGACCTGAGCCTAAATCAAGAGTTGGACGCTTAACTGACTGAGCCACCCAGGCACCTGAATATGTGCTTATTTTATTATAATGATCTTCTTTTTCCAAATATGTATTTGTTACTCTTTCAAATGCTAATTCTACTTCAGGTACTATAGTCTCCCTTTTTACAAAAGGTATACTTGAATTGTTTTTCATATACATGCTAGTTTACTTAGGAGAACAAGGTCCTCTCATCCCTGGGGGTCCCAAAACAGTCCTGGAAAGATGATGTTGAAGGTTGGTAATCTTGGATTGGACCAGTGTCTAACAAAGAACCAAGTGTAGAGGATGGGTGACCATGGAAAGTTGTTACCCAGCTTCTGACTGATGGATGGTCTCATTGTTTCCTGCATGCACATTTTTTTTGTAAGCTATGTTTCAAAAAAAGAAAAGAAAGGGGTATGGGGTGGAGTATGTACTACTCATGTAATTTTGCCCCCCAAAATGTATTTTGAATGACTTCCCAGATCTCGCACGGCTGTGTAACATTGGGTTGCATAAACGGACCATACACAGACATGCCTCTACATTGCTTATATATATCTGGGGGAGGCTAAGAGGGAGACTTTTATTTTCGCTTCATATACTTCTCTGATTTGATGTAAATGTGTGTTATGTGCGTGTGTGACTTTTATAGCTTATCCTAAGCACTTAAGCTTATTGGAATTTCCTCTATGGAAGGGATTCTGCATATGCACAGAGGTTTAGCTGTGATACTTTTGTATCATAGTTTTTATGAAAAACTGGAAACCCGTTTCTGAAAATTGTTAAATGTTGTTACAGCCATGGAGTGAAATGCCAGTGGGAAAAAAATACTGGCAGGATCTGTACAAAATTATTGTAGTGATTATCTTTGAGTTACTTAAAGTGTCTTTTATGTAGTTTCTGATTCTCTTACAAAAAATACTATGTATCATATTTATGCCAAGAAAAATTCATTTAAATTGCTTTGCAACTCTTTGGAAGAAAATCTGAAAGAAAACTGTGTAATATTTCATTGAACTTTGTTAGACTCACCCAACTTAGATTTAAAAGATTTAAAATTAAAATAATTCTAGGAGGACACAGATTAAAAATTTCAAGTCCAGTGTTGTTATTTTAGTAGGTGGAAATTGAAAGGCATAGGTTAAAAACTTTAATTTATGGTGTTTCAGAATGAATATAACACGTAAAGCTAAATTGAATTTTTTTTCCTTATTTGTCATTTTCCTTCTTCCTTTCAGTTATAAACCTAAATATACCTTTAAAAATCTTTATTTCTTATTCTTTTTCTTTTTTCTTTCTTTTTTTTTTTTTAAGACTTTTTATTTATGGGGCGCCTGAGTGGCTCAGT